ATTTCCTTCCTTCTGCTTATGCTGGGCTTTTCTTGTTGCTCTCTTTCTAACTCTTTGAATTGTATGGTTAGTTAATTTATTACCATTGTTTCTTATTTTTTGAGGTAAACCTGTAGAGCTATGAACATCCCTCTCTGGACTGCTTTCACTGTGTCCCATAGATTTTGGATTGTTGTGTTTTCATTGTCGTTTGTTGCCATGATGCTTTTTATTTCTTCTTTGATCTCTTTGTAACCCAGTCATTGCTTACTAGCGTGCTATTTAGCCTCCAGGTGTTTGATTGTTTTTGTTTTTATTGTAGTTGATTTCTAGTTTTATGCTACCCAATCTTCTAAACTCCATCTTCAAAGTCTTATTCTCAGGACATCCTCTGCCTTACTTCATAGAGAAACATAATGTACTTTAGATTGCAGCTTGAGATTTTTTTTGTCACTAAATGTGCCAAATATACCCACCCCATCTTTCCTTTTTTTCTAATACAATTAAAGTACTGCTTCTCCATCTTTCTAAGGTTAATCTCTTGTATGTCTTTATTCTTTGTAAAGAATTACTTTTATTCTATATTACATACTATATTACATACTTCATGTCAACATTTAAATATCCTCACATCATTCCCATTTTAAAAACAAAAGAAAAAACAGTCTTTGATTCATTACAACCTGGCATCACTTCACTCCACATAAATGGCTCTTCCTATGTTTATCAATGAAGTTCTCTTTAAATCTGATATTTTTAAATCTTTATTTTGCTTGACCTCTTAGAATTTGAAATTTCATGCACTGGGCCACTAGTTGAATAATAAATTACCACAAGTGTGGTGACAGAAACTATCACCCATTTATTATCAAACAGTTCTATAGGCTATAATCCCAGGCACAGTGTGGCTAGAAGATTCTTTGCTAAGGGTGTCAAAGGCCAAATTCAGGGTGTTGACTGAGTTCTTATCCAGAGGCTCTTATGAGAAGCTCCTGAATGAATGAAAAATTTTCAGGCCAGCAGGGGGGCAGTTAGGGGCAATCAGGCCTGCAGGCAGGCAGAGGCAGTTAGGAGTGATCAGGCAGGCAGGAAGAGGGGTTAGGGGCAATCAGGCAGGCAGGTAGGTGAGTGGTTAGGAGCCAGTGGTCCAGAATTGCAAGAGGGATGTCCGTCTGCCGGTTTAGGCCTGATCCTAAACCAGCAGTTGGACATCTCCCAAGGGGTTCCAGATTGAACAGGGTGCAGGCCAGGCTGAGGGACCATTCCCCCCCACCCCCCATGCATGAATTTCATGCATTAGGCCTCTAGTTTTAATATAAATTCTATAACATCTTACGTTTATTTTTTATAGTTCACAAAGACATTTATGAGAATACTAGAGGCCTGATGCACAAAATTTGTGCAAGAGTAGATCTTCCTTCCCCGAGCTGCCGGCACCGGCTTCCCTCTGGCACCCAGGGCCTGGGCTTCCCTCCGAACCCAGCTACGTCCAGAAGGATGTCCAGTCTAATTAGCATATTACCCTTTTATTATTATAGATGGGTCAAAGAATCTGCTTTCCTCCGGCCTCCGGCAGGCACCTGGGACCTGGGCTTCCCTCGCAGCCCTGGCTTCGTCCAGACGGTCGTCCAGAAGGACGCCCGGAAGGACATCAGTCTAATTAGCATATTACACTTTTATTATTATAGATATTGGAAGTTAGAAAAACTTAAGTTGAAAAATTCTCAATTTATTTATTTTTATATTCTTTTTTAAATTTGAAGTAACTTACCCTGGTGCATAGTTGCATATGAAAAGTGCTGCATATTTAATACGTCCAACTTCTGAACATGGAGTAACAGCACAACCAACTTTGTAAGACTTGTCCCAAACAAGCTAAAATGAAATTTTCAAGAAAAACATGAAATTTAATTCTAAACAATTATTCTGCCATATTGTAAACAATAATATATTCAATATACATAGAACCTTTAACTAAATAATTTAAAAAATATGAACTATGAATTAGCATGGTTTTAGGGTAGCATTTGCAACACTGCAGTTAGAGAAATACTTTAATAAATTCTACCAGTACATATTCTTAGGATAAAAAGTTTGAGAACCACTGATACAGAATAATACTTTCGAGCCAAAGAAAGGCCCACCAGCTGAATCAATTTTCATCCTCTTATTGAACCTGAGTTCTAGGTTATTGGAAGAGAGGAAGAGGAAAAGAGAGGAGAGATATTTTTGACAGAATAAAAGTTGTAAATAGAAGGGAGAAAAAGAGAGACACTAAGATTAGAGAAAGGGAAAAAAAGCAATAAAAGAATAGAGAGTAATTGAATGCTATTGTCATTTTTCTTTTGTTGAAGAAATTCCATTATAAAAAGATTTTGGGCCTTTCATTTTAAAAAATGAATAAAGGAGCTTGCTCTTATGCAAGGAAAATCTGGTATTAAATTGGAATAAAAATATGAGAATAGTTCAAGATATTCCAGAAATTCTCTGTAATGCTTTAATATTTCTAATACTTTCAAGTGACAAAAAAAGTACTTGTTTTGTTCTGTTAATCTCTGTGGGAGAGAGGGGAACCATTTTTGTTTCTTTTTATCCCAAGCCTTAGTGGTTTTAAAAGCATGGTTAGTAAAGAAATAGAGTGATGCATAAAAAGAATAGAGGATGGAGTGACTGCAACAGTTAAATTAGAGTTAGTCAGGTTAAATGCAGGAAACAGAAATGTCTAAGATACTAGAATTAAAAAGTACAAAATATAGAGGAGTAGGTCAGGGAGTAGAATTTATTAGTTTACTGAAAGTATGAAGTTATATTAAGACTAGCTTTGATACAAATAAGATAATGGAGAACCATTATAACTTTCTAGAAGAAGAATAAACAGATCAAACATTTTTTGAAAGACTTATTTGATGAATGAGAAAGACATGAGTTCAACATGAAAAAAATTCCAAGATTTTAAGTTGTACATAAAACATGACATCAGTTTATTGATAGAAAAATAATCATTTTTATTTTATTTATTTTTGTTAATCCTCACCTGAGGATATTTTTCCATTGGTTTTTCAGAGAGAGTAGACAGGAGGGGAAGAGACAGAGAGGGAGAAACATAAATGTGAAAGAGACACATCGATTGGTTGCCTACTGGGGCCGGGGATAGAGCCTGCAATCGAGGTATGTGCCCTTGCTTGGAATCAAACTCTCGAACCTTCAGTCCTTGGACTAACATTCTAACCACTGAGAAACCTGGCTAGGGCAAAAAAAAATCATATTTTACATAAGCTTGGAAGTTCATTTAATAAATTATTGATCTCTGATATAAATATTTATTGAAGACCTAAATAATGTCATGTTGTTGTGTTGAGAATAAACAGATGAGAAGATCCCTGCCTTTACTGTAGTATCACATATAAATAATTATTAAACAATGTGATATATGAAATAATAAATATATGTATAGAAAATAAGTAGTTCAGTATTTTGGGGGGATAAAGTGTAAGGTAGATTATTAGACATGAGGTAGGAAAATAATACTATTAATTTGCATTTAAAAAGTTTTAACCAATTAGTTATATAGTGGTATGTGTACTGATCTGTGCAAAAAATATCATCTTACACTTATGTTTATAGTCAATAATTTAGAAATAATTTTTATTTTCTGGTTTCTTACTTCCTTGTCCAGTGTACATTATTTTTAGAAAAGTACCTTTCATATTTGGGTATGGAGGTTAAATTTCCTATATTTAAAATAATGTTTTAATTGTATGGTTCAAATAATAGAATTACAGACATTTTGAAGATCTAGGACTGATAAGAACTTTGATTCTATTAGACTTAATAATTTACCATTTGTATTTACTTATAAAATTTAAACAATCAATAAAAACTTGATAATAACGCTATTAAGGAATCTATTGAATTAATAATATAAAAATTAGATACCTGCATATATTTAGAACAGTCACCAGAGCAAGTGCCATTTCCAAAATGGTACCTTTCCTTCTCTGCATACCAACTTCTGATAGCAATACTTGCGGTAAATTCATTTTCAGGGCCGACCCACATATTTTCACCAATACCATTAAATTTAGGATGGGCCATTTTTATTTCTTCTAAATGAATATTACGCTCAAACACACATTTTTTTCCCCATGCTCTAGCAGTCCGTGACAAAGCTACATCCCAAGTCTGAAAAAAAATGCAAAAAGCAAAGAAAACAAAATAATTGATGAGTTTGAGTTCTCATAGTAAGATTTAAGGAAAACATTCCTAACTTTATGCTTAAGGATTTTATTTGTGGAATTTCTATAGGGAACTTTTTTTAGATAATCATAAATGAAACAACTATTTTCTGGTACAAAGGACTATGCATATATTAGTAATTAAAAAGTCAGATTGTTAGATGATGCAAATGATTACGATACTCTTACACAGAGTCTGTTCAGAAGTGTATAATACTCATGTAGTCTCTTCAGAACATATATTTATATTTTTTCAGAATATATATTTTTATCTCATACCTTTTATTCATAGTAATACAATAATCTATATATATATAAAAGTCCAAGTGACCATTACGACCGGACAACAGTCAGGTAGTCATGATGCACACTGACCACCAGGGAGCAGACACTCAACGCAGGAGCTGCCCCCTGGTGGTCAGTGTGCTCCCACAGCAAACCTCCTATGGCTAGCCAACTCCCTTGGTTCCTCCCCCTGGCCTGCCAGCCCAATGGGTCCCAATCGGGACTGGGCAAGACAGCCCAGATTGGCCCCGATCGCCAGCCAGGCTGAGGGACCCCACCTGTGCATGAATTCATGCACCAGGCCTCTAGTATAAAATATTCATTTAAGAACTATTTATTGAGCACTAATTTTATGCAAAATATTGTGTTTTGAGGAAATAAAGTCTTATGATATTTCCAAAAATATGAGAAAATTTCACATGATGCTGCTCCCTGGCCAGCTATCTAGAAATATCCAAAAATGTGTACTTTTGTTATTATTTAGAGCCTCATTAAGTTCATTGTTAAGGATAAGAACAAACACAATACATAAAGAAAAATCAACAAAATAGTTGTCAAACCAAAATGCTAAGTACATATGTCTCAGTGTATCTGAAAGTAAGCATTTCTGAAAACTAAGATTTTTTTAAGGTTTTCTCAGTTAATTTCATAGATTATACATATATATAATATAAAATATATCATACAAATAAACAAATCAGGCTTTTAGATTACCCCCCAACTACTTCCCTCCCCAAAGCTCATTATTGTTTAAAAAATTGCTTTGTATACATTTCTCTACACACACACACACACACACATACACACACACACATTCATATATAAGATACAAGTGGTATTTTAAATGCATATTTTGTGATTTTTTCCCTTGCACTGTTGTAATAATTCCATACATAATATTATTGGCCTGTGATTTGTAGTTGTCACTTAGAGAGATTGTTCCATATTAACTCAAGTAGATCTACCTAACTTTTGCAATCTCTCCATAGTATTCTATATACTATAGTATTCTATAGCACATAATAAATGTTACCATTGCACTATTAATCATCTTTTAGATTGTTTCTCATTTGAAAACAATGTTTCATGGATCATCTTTTTACTGCCTTATTTTGAATATTGTTCATACATCACATGTTTACTATGTACCAGGCATTATTGTTTGTTTTTAAAAGTATTTTTTATTAATTTCAAAGAGGAAGGGAAAGGGAGAGAAACATCAATGATGAGAGAGAATCATTGATCAGCTGCCTTCTGCACACCCCCTACTGGGGATTGAGCCCACAACCTGGGCATGTGCCCTTGACCAGAATTAAACCTGGGACCCTTCAGTCTGCAGGCAGATGCTCTATCCATTGAGCCCAACCAGCTAGGGTGTCACTATTGTTTTTTATACACTATTTAACTTAGTGTTCAGAATATCCTATGAGGTATGTATTATTATTATTTTTTGTTTCACAAAGGAAGTAACCAAAACACAGACAAGTATTTTACCTGTAGTCACATAAAACCAATAAATTATGGAGTCTGAATTTAACCCAGAAAGTCTAACTTTCTACTCCAAGTTTGGAAATATTTTACTTTATTCCTTCCTATGACAGTGTGTAAAATAAGTTATGATATTTACAAATTACTTTGCTCAACCTTGAATAAAATTAGTTGAAAACAGTATCAATGTTTTTTCAATTATATAATACAGTCTTATCAACTATAGTCACTACCCTTTTACCAACCTCTTCCTATTTTCCCACCCCCAGCCCGTGGAAACTACTTTCTGTTCTCCGAGTCACTTTTTTTTTTTTTTAAGATTCCACATATAAGTGATACCAATGCACTTCTTGTCTTTGTCGGGCTTATTTCACTTAGCATAATGACCTCAGGGTACATCCAAGTTGTTGTAAATGGCAGGATTTCCTTCTTTATCATGGATGACTAATATTCTATTGTATATATACACAACACCTTCTTTATCCATTCATCCAATGATGGACACTTAGATTGTTTCCCTATCTTGACTATTGTAAATAATACTTAAATGAACATGGCATTACAGTATTCTCTTTGAAATCCTGTTTTCATTTCCTTTGTATATATACCCAGAAGTGGAATTGCTGGATCATATGGCAGCTCTATTTTTAATTATTGAGGAACTGCCATACTGTTATGGCTTTGCTTCAATTATACTTCTGTCACTCATCTGAATTCTTTCTCTCAAGCTGACTGGAGCTGAGCCCTCTCTGACTCAGCCAGATCTCCAGTAACAAAAGGGGAAAAGCTTCATTATATATGGCAATGATTGCTTGGCTATGTCCTGAAAAGCACAGGCAACAAGATACAAAATAGATAAATTAGACTTTATCAGATTTATAAAGTTTTGTGAATCAAAGGATACTACCAACACAATGAAAAGGAAACCTATGCAATGAGAGAAAACATTTACAAATCATATATTTGATAAGGGGTTACTATCAAATATAGTAATTTCCTATTTATTTATCTTGTTTTATTTTTAAACAAGAATATATAAAGAATTTCTTCAACTCAACTAACAACAACAAGCCTGATCAAAAATTGAACAAAGGACTTGAATGGACATTTCTCCAAAGAAGACATACAAATGTCTAATAAGTTCAACATAACTATACATTAGGGAAATGCAAATCAAAACCATAATGACGCCTATTAAAATGGATATCTATACTAATAAAAGGTAATATGCTAATTAAAACAGACATCTTCCAGACATCCTTCTGGACGTCCTTCCAGACAAAGCCACAGTGGCAGGGGCTGAGGCAGAGGTGGTTAGGGGTAACCAGGCCGGCAGGGGAGAGCAGTTAGGGGCAACCAGGCCAGCAGGGGTGGGCAGTTAGGGGTGACCAGGCAGCAGGTAGAGTGGTTAAGGGCGATCAGGTGGGCAGGCAGGTGAGCAGTTAGGAGCCAGCGGTCCCGGATTGTGGAATCAGGCCTAAACTGGCCATTGGATATCCCCTGAGGGGTCCTGGAATGGAGAGGATGCAGGCCAGGCTGAGGGACCCCTTACCCCATGCATGAATTTCATGCACTGGGCCTCTAGTACATATATAAAACCCAGAAACTAACAAGTGTTGGCAAGAATGTGGAGAAATTACAACCCTCGTGTACTGTTGGTGGGAATGTGAAATGGTGCAGCCACTATGGGAAACAGAATGGCAGTTCTTCAAAAAAAATTCAACATAGAGTCCTGGTTGGTGTGGCTCATTTGGTTAAGTGTCATCCCATGCACTGAGAAGTGGCCAGTTCAATTCCTAGTTGGGACACATGCTTAGGTTTGGGGCTCAATCCCCAGTAGGGGGTGTTTTTGAGACAGCTGATGGATGTTTCTCTCTCCCTCTCCCTTTCTCTCTCTCTAAAATCAATAAAAACATATTTTAAAAAGATACACAGAATTTCCATATGTTCCAGCAATCCCAGTTCTGGGTATTGCCAATAGAGGTGAAAGCAGGGAATTGAACACATATTTGTACACACACCCATTTTCATAGCATTATTCACAATAGCCACTGGTGAAAGCAACCGGAATGTACATTGACAGATGAATGGATAAACAAACTGTGATATAAATATACAAAGTAAAATATTTAGCCTTAAAAAGATGGAAATTCTGACACATGCTACAACATGAATGAACCTTGAAAATATGCTAAATAAAATAAGTCAGTCACAATAAGAAATACTGTATGATTTCTATATGAAGTATTTTTCATAGTCAAATTCATAGAGACAGAAAGCAGAATAGTTGTAGCCAGAAACTGGGAGAAGCAGGAAATGGCTTAATGGGTACAGAGTTTCAATTGGGGAAGATGAATGCTAGGGATGGTTGCACAACAATATGAATGAACTGAATGCCACAGAACTGTACAATAAAAGATGGTTAAAATGTTAAATTTTATGTCATGAGTATTTTACAATAAAAAAACTAAATTTTTCAGTTTAATGACAGGTAGAAGGCAAATACCAGATGACAACAACATCATGGACACAGGCAAGGGATTTAGAATTTGTGTTGTAAGATCTTTTTAATATTTGGAAGGAAGTTATAGATGTTAACTTTGGACTTTGTAAACTTATATATATTTTAAAACGCTAAGAACGACCAATAAAAAAAAAAGAAAGTGTGATTTCTAAACCTATGAAGGAAAAGTTCTAAGGAGACCATATTATTACAATAAAATATTCTATTTACAGTTAATATTTCCATCCTAGCAAAATCTATGGGAAAATACACACCAACTTTTAGAAAGAGGAGAAGAGTGAAAATTAAGGTTGGGACTTTAAACTGTATCCAATCAATATTACTATTAAAATAATCATATATTAAGATATATATTGCTGGTACACAAGTGCCTGCTACATTATTCTCTATATTTTTCTTTATGTTTTAAATTAATATTTAGAGTTTAGAAATACAAACCCTATAAAAATTGCATTATGTGTTTATTAATTATGAGAAGGCAGGCTAATCATCTAACTTGTAAAAAACCAGAATTAGCCTGGCCAGCATGGCTCAGTGGTTGAGCATCAACCTATAAACCAGGCTATCATGGTTCAATTCCCGGTCAGGGCACATGCCTGGGTTGTGGGCTCAATCTCCAGTGTCCCCATGAAGGAGGCAGCCAGTCAATG